TGGAGCCTTAAACCGAATACTCTGCTTTGCAAAAATATTCCAGAATGTCAGCTAAAAGAGGAATTTTCAAATGATTGTATCTTGTTTAAGGTGTTCGTTGCTATTCACCCCACGAATTTTATACTGGTTCCCAGGACATCTCAAAATGCAGAGAGCATCAAGTACGGTGCGTATAATCCTTACTCACCACAGTGTATAGCTTATTACTTTGATTTCGAAGCGAAGATATGGAAACCTTTGCCATCTGTAGCACAATCAGATGAAAAAGATAATTCATGTTTTTGTGCTGAACGCATTGGAAACTACTTATTTGTAGCTAAACAGAGGCAGAACATGGGTAATTTCATACATCGATATGATGTGGTAAATAAATCATGGGTTAAATTACCAAAATACGGAAACAACCACATAGTTAACTGCTTGTGTTCTGTTGGTGACTATCTTTACGCCATTAGTGATTCAAATCCTCCTCAAAGGTACAGTTTGACAAATAACAGTTGGCAAGGTGGAGAAGGCTTAAAAGTAGTAGAAAACGAGGAGAAGTTAAGAACTGTATCAGCAACAGTAATGAACTCTAAAATATATGTAATTCATGGTTATCAAAGAAATGAAAGTGAAGGGGGAAAGCCCAGTTGGGTCAATAAACCAGCTGTGGTTCATTGGTTTGACCCAAAATTCAATGTGTGGACAAAACTCAAGTCAACCTGCCATCCTCTTTTCATTCCAGTCTTTTTGTTGTCAATAACAGATTGTATGTGGCGGGGGGATATATTGATGACTATGGTGACTACCTTGCACCTATGGAAGCGTATGATAAAGGTACTAACACCTGGTCTGTAGTGCCTCAGAAACATATTCCCCCAAACGACTTGGGTGCAGTTGAAATAGAGGGGAGGGTGTATTTCATCATCAACAAATTTCCAGTCGACAGTGGGATTAGAATTCCACCTGAGGAAATGTATCAAGTTGACTTAAGTGGTTGGGGAGATGTAGCTAAAGTCAACAGCGAAGCAGTTTTGTGTTATTTGCCTGTCAAGAGCGAAAACTTGAAATGAACCTACCAGTTGAATTTGAGCTTCTCTTTGGTATATGTGACATATCAGAGAAACTGATTGGTAACTTAACATCAAGAAAAGAAGTGGTTCTGCAAAATACAGTATTTGTTTTTAAGCCCATTTTTGAAACACAGTTAGTGGGAAAAGAAGAATAAACTAAGAAATTAATTGATTCACTCGTCTTTCCTTCTCTCTTCACCGTTTTAGCCACTGTTTTTGGCCTTCGCCTTTTGCCCTTTGTCTAAAAACAATGAAATTTAAAAAAATTTAGTACAGTCACCGTATAGCTAGTAGGCCGGCTAAATTAAATTTTCTCTATCAATGTAAACGTTTTTCACACGTACAAGATGTCTAGAACTATAGCTGTGTTCGCAGTTGTATAGCAAATGTCTAAGTGAATTAGTAGAAATATTTTCAGCTAGGTTACATAGATATTTAGCCATGGGTTATTTTTCATCGGCACCAAAATCAGTTCCGAGTAGCTTTAAAGTGTTAAGGTTCAGCTTTATACGACTTAACTTAGTGCTATATTTAAAAGGTAAATTCAGTTTAGCCGTGTTTCTGTTCAGTTATAGATAACAGATGATGCTACAATACGGTAATAACGTAGCACATGAGCCAGTAGCGAGTGTATTACTTCGGTTATTACGTTTTGACATAATGATTGTGTAATGTTTAAAAAACGAGCAGGAGTGTTTTATCGGGTTAAAACCACGAGGCGTAGCCGAGTGGTTTTTGACCCGATAAAACACGTGCTGCGAGTTTTTTGAACGGCTTCAAAAACATTCTTGGAAAAGCGTGTGTCAAGAGAGTTCAAAACAATTATGCTTTTGTGAACGTTAGAAATTAGCATACGAGAAAAACATTAGGGATTAAATTAGTATGCAAGAAAATCAAATCTCACACGTGTTTTGTACTTTTCTTCTACTAACCGAAGAGGACATGGCGTCCTGTTCCAGAGCTTTTCGGAAGCCTAAAAATGCCGAGGAAGAGAGGAATTTAATCGAGAATGCTATCCAAATTAATTTGGTGCAAAAGTAAATTTACTGTGTGAAATTTGTTGAAAGAACATTAAATATGTTCCCACCATTTGTTGTGTCAGTTTCTGTGTTGATAATTAATTAATATTCATAAGTCACGTGCAGTGTCTTTCTATCTGATAAAACACCGCATACTAATAAGGATGAGGTTTATCGATATAAAGTCACTGCACGTGATGTATTATCTACCATTTGATAGGTTAATGGGCTTATGAATTATTAATGAGTTTTTGAAAGATATATAAAAATCATATACGTGCACTGCGGTGAACAAACGAATATAAGGAATCCTCGCAGCTATGAACACTACTGAACTAGTAGTTGAAATGAGACCTGAAAAAAATTCAGGCTCGTACGGGATTTCAACTACTAGTTCAGTAGTGTTCATAGCTGCGAGGATCTCTTCTCTACGTTTTGATATCTTCTGATCAGACGCGCGGAAAACTGAAATATATCTGGTTCATACAATTAACCTGTAGATTTTGTATTTTTCTTGTTTGTAAGCAGCTCTTGGTCGATCAATTTTCAGGTGAAGTCCTCTCTAGGTTAACCGGAAATTATCTCGGAAACTACTGGTATTTAAACCAGGCATCATAAGGGACAATGCAAACAATGCATCTGTATTCTGATAAATCATAGATGATGACCATTAACAGGACGCATGATATTTCACGTTATAAAAGTCTTTATAATGATTGTTTAAGAGATATGTTTTCTAGAGGTTTGTGTTTATGTTTACGCGACAGGATCAATGTCAGGACTTATTTTGATAACCGTGAATATGCATGTGATCGGTTGTGATCCAATTTGTAATGTATCATTCAAGGTTTTTATATGCATGTATAACCTCACTTGTAAATAAATTTCATCCAATTTCTTGTAAAATTGGCTACTTATGTTTGTGACCGTGTTGCTAAGGTGATGGATATATAATCTGGTGGTCCCAGGTTCTAGATTTCCACCCCGTTAATCATTAAATTCTTTCGAATTCTCGCTTGCCTTGAGTCAGTTCGCTCTCCTTGGCTGCAATCTGTAAATAACGAACTGGTCTGCCTCCTGCCTTTTGGAAAATTCACCCAGTTTATTTTTATTGAAAGGCCTCCATGATTAGTGTAGTCAAAGATTTGATGATGGTATTTTTAACATAATTATCATTATAGTCGCTTACTAAAAGGCCGAAATCTTGAACATTACCACTTGTTTTTCTCGCTCGGAAGCTCTTTCTACCCTCAGGTATAAACAAGCTCACGAGAGAAGATGGCTTGATAGTCTATCTTCGAATAGCGCGCAAGAAACCACATTTTCATTAGGAGTATTGCGAAAAACACATGCAATAGAGGGTCAGTTTCTGCTTTCTTGAGCCACGCAAAAGTTGCTTATATTTTACCCATTACGTTGAGACTTACCATGAATTATCCTTACTGATATTGTATTGTCTTAAGAACCGCCTGTGCATTCATATGGCGGGAGAAGGAGAATAGAACTTGACAGAAAATATAAAATGTGAGTGGATAACAGAAGAAGTAAAAGTGCAAGTCTCTGAAGGCGGAATTTTTTCAAAATCGTATTCTTTTGTCGAATACATTATTAATACAGTAGTGAAGAAGAAGAAGAAAGCTGTTTCAATCGCTGGATCACATCATGTTTCATTCAAATACCGCATTTAAAAACTAGTCTAAGTCGCAGAAGACAGAAATCAAACCCTCTGTCAATACCAAAATTGATCACAAGGCAGCAAGCAACGAATCGTAAATTTGTCAAGTCTCTACTTGACTATGAAACACGTAATAAAGGGGGTAAGTTTCTAAAGAAACTGTGGTGCTGCGTCACTGGGAGAGTATAACAGGGTCATTTTATATTATCAACTTTTTTTAATGTTAAATTGGCCACCAAAAATGATTTCAAAGCTAACGTTTCGAGCGTTAGCCCTTTGTCACAGCGATTGGCGAAGGGCTAACCCTCCCTCTCATGGAGGGCTAACACTCCAAACGTCAGCTTTGAAACTCTTTACGGTGGCTAATTTACGTTATCAACTCAGTTGATAATACACGTACACTACGTCGATAAGGTCCTGGGAGGAACGTAACCTATGCAGGGGACCCGCAGAGAAAGACTGTAGCTCGCATTGGAAAATCAGGTTTGTCCAGTTTCAGTAGACCGTTGAGATCCGTTTTTGTTAAGCCGTAACTGAGTATTAAAGTCTACTCCAAGGAACAGGAAAAAGGTATTCCCTACTTGGGTGTTACCTGTTATATTTCGTCTTTGTTCTTAGCTGCGCAACACTCTGCCGAATCGGCAAATCTTCATTTGACCCTTCACTCTCAACTCTGATGATATCTTCCTCTAAGACTGTGTCTACTACCAAGACGATCAGGCTGAACGATCAAATGTTACTCCCGGGTTCAAACCATTTACTGTAAGATGTGTTTTGTATCTTTACTTATTACATTCTTTTTATTTTAAAAAGAAACAAACTAAAAAAGAAGCAACTACACCATCGTTAGGTATTTTACGATATTCTCTGACAAATGATGCATGTACAACAAATGTTATCTCATACCGCTGACAAGATGCCAAAATGACCCGGGGCTCGAGATTGTGGTTTGCCTTGACTCACACCATGTGGAAAACTGACCGAGAAAGCCTGAGGACAATGTTGTAAATGTGAAAGATGGATACCCATTCTGGAATTCTCTTGACCAAATGTGCTCAGTTTCGAGACGAAGGGCAATTTGTCGACGTTCGTTTAAAAGTCGGTAAAGAAACTTTTCCCGCTCATCGCAATGTGCTCGCTTCGTACAGCGATTACTTCTACGCCATGTTTGCAGATGGAATGAAGGAATCGAACCAGGAAGTGATTGAGCTGAAAGATGAAAGGTCGTTATGGACTGTATCTACAGCGGAGATCTTCAGATCAATGAAGAAAACGTGTTTGAAGTTCTTGCTGCCGCAGACTATCTTCAAGTGAGAAATGTTCTTCAACAATGTTGTGATTTCTTGTTGACTGAAATTATTCAGTCAGCTCGATTTGATATACAAATGTATCGTCGCGTTTGGACAGTTACCGATAAACACAACCTTAGGGAAGTTAAGAAGGCCGCAGATCCCAAGAAGGCATCTATGTATACAGATGTGGGTGAAAGTGAAGAGTTCCTGTCGAATATCGACGCAGACCAACTACTCAGCCTTCTCGGTCGAGATGACCTCAATGCGCCTTCGGAGACATTCGTCTTCAAATCTGTGATGCAGTGCATAAAATGAGTGTTTTTTGTTCCACCTGGTGTATCCAAAAAAATTTCGCATTTTATAAAGGGTGGAACTAAAGAACACAACTAATCCTCCGAAGCCCCCCTCCCCCTCTCTCCACCCTCTCCCTGAGGCGATAAATTATGATGTTTCATCATTATTCTGTACTAGGTTCTTGTTGCATTTTGCCCAAGGAAGAAGTCGAACCATAACAGAACTGTTCGAGAAGCGATGCCTTACTACTTTGATGAGGAAAGTAAAGAATGGAAACTTTTAAAATCTGTGCCAAATGTAGGTGAAGTAGTTAAAACGTGGTCTAGTGTGAAATATATCGGAAATTGTTTGTATTGAGCCTCATCGGATGCTGATAAATCAGATATTTATCGTTATCACACAGTTATCACAAACAAAGTTGAGTTTCCCCAAGATAATCCAATGTTTGTGTTGTGTTGGTGACCATGTTTATGCAGTTAGTGAATCTAGTCCACCCAGGATTTACAGTTTGGCTGACAACACCTGGCAGCAGGGTGGGGACAATTTGCATTTATTTACACGAAGAGGATTAAAATCTGTAGCAGCAGCAGTAATGAACTCTAAGTTATATGTTATGCATGGGTTCCTTGAAGCAGACCCTGCCTTAGTGCATTGTTTTGACCCTCAAAAAAATGAATGGGAAAACGTCGCCTCGACGTGTTATCCTCACTTTGGATCCAGTCTTTTTGTGGTCGGTAACAAACTGTATGTGGCGGGGGGTTTGAAAAAGGAGTATAGTGAATTCGATATATCATACCCTGAAAATGCACCGGTAGAAGTTTTCAATGAGAGGAAAAGAACTTCATCCTTGTTTAGTAGAAGGAGAAAAAAAGAACCACTGAACAGCTGGTCTGTTGTAGAACAGAAACATATCCCCGCCAATAATCTCGGTGCAGTGGAAATAGAAGGGAGGGTGTATTTCATCATCAATGAATTTCCAGTCGACAGTGGGATTGGAATTCAGCCAGAGGACACGCACCAGGTTAATCTTGATGAATGGAAAAACTTAAGGACTGTAAGTGAGCGGGCAGTCCTGTGTTATTTGCCTGTAAAAAAAGAAGACTTAAATTGAAAGAAGCTCGGAGCTAGATAATTGTTAACATGTCCTTAACATGTTCTTTTATACCAGGTTATTACTTGGTCAAAATTTAAGTGTCCGAATGGTTTGTTTAAAAAAAAAAAATGTCGAAAAAACGTTTTTGTTTACGCCTTTCTTAGACCAAGGCAGTCGCCCCGCAACAACATTTAGTGCGTGGTTTAGACTGATAGGGACTGGGAAATACCCATTTTGTTTTTTGAATTTTTAAAATCAGGAGAGTTGGAGGCCCGGATTCAATGTACCGATTTTTTCTCGAGTATTAACCTCAAATAATTCAGGTATTAGCACGTTAACTAAGACTCGCGTTGTTTTGCCTCTTTACCGATGATAGAGTTTTCTATACGCATAAATAAAACTGAAAATTGTTTTTTTGTTGTCTTTCGTATTTCGTAGTCATTAATTTGGAGCTATGACTTGATTATGGAGAGTCTCAATGGGTGACGGCTTGAAAAGTTAACGGTTAAAATTATGGCCAATTTACGGCTATTGGTTAACGTCTTTCCATTGTTGTCACCAGAAACATTTTTTTACGGTTAACTTATTTTACGACCAACGGTTAAAATTTGTGAATTTTTACGCTTTACAGTTAGATTTAGTGGCCGTTTACGGCCAACGGTTAACTCATTGGGACCCTCATTATCATTGAGTGCGTATAGGCACAGGATTGGATGAAAAAGTATACCGTCAGTTTTGCTGCTAGAGATATGTTTGTAAGTTTGTTTAGAAACATTATTCTTGACTTAATAATAAGTTTCGGTCGGCATTAAAAGTGGCCTGGAGAATCCGTAATTAAAGTTGCAATTATCAGGGTTAGGGTCACATCAAGTGTGGTTATAGTCACTGAGCGATTTTTGGGCTACGTACTTAGAGAACCGGGCTAGGAAAGTGAAACTTGGTGATATAACTGTACTGATCTTGATAAATGTGAGGCGTCATAATCTAACTTGTTAGTTATACTGACTGAACTTGTTATTTTTACATTTGAATGTACATACTATATTACTCAATAAATTTGTTAGTTTACCCTCTACTGTTTTGTCTTTGACTCGCAAAACATAACTAGAAGTAGGCAGACTAGAGCACTCGTTTCCTTGCGTTCAAATATTTTCCATTCTTAGGCACTGTTCTATTACACGTAATTTCGGGTTATTCGCGTACACTGAAGCATTGCCAATGTTAGGCATGTTATAGCTTATGGGATTTTACTGAATCATTCAATAAACTACTGCAACCATTCGGTTGAGATCGCGTATAAAAGCAAGAGCACATGAATACGGATTTCAGTAAGTGCTTTGAATCGATGCTTGCTTAATGCATTCCTTTTTGAAAGATCGAGATCGAGAGATACCAGTTGAACATTACTTAAAAAATCAAACTTAAACACTGACAGGCATGATTCAGCTTATTCCTGTTTTGAATTAGGAGTTACAATCAGTTTTAAGCTCAGCGTTAATACAAGATTAAAGTTAGGTATGACCTTGACTTTTAGCAGAATTGTCGCTGAAGGTCTACTGTTGTAACTCATGTAGTTATTACTGATACGATCTTAAGAAACCGCAATGAACTTTACACCTGACGGCAAAAATTGAGTTACGTGACAAATGCAAATTTGTCTATCTTTAAATGTAAAGTGTCTATAAATTCCTTGAAGGAGAAATCAATTAAAATTTAGCGTCCTTAGTACTCAGAAGTTTTAAGTCGCGGACGGCGGCCAAAGAATGGAATAAATTCTGGTAAGTCTTGACAATCAATTGGAAGACTCTTGCCTTAGCATCTCAGGCTTAACGGTACAAACAAAAGATCTGTTGTAACCGCCAGGGAAAAAAACTCTAATCTTCCGGCTGGTTTCCGTGTTACTGAAATGTATTTTCATAGGCGCACTAAGTTAAATACTTTACGGAGTGTTTTGTGGTGGAAAAATCGCAATAATTGAACGACATCAGGCGCAGCTGTAACCCTTTTCTTCTAAAGTATCGTAAGATTAAGCCCAAATGATCTCAAATTCCTTGCCTCTTAATATTCATCTTTCTCACCCTCCCCTGGGCGATATGCAAATACTGCCTACATCAAGTTCCCTAATTGATCTCTGGTCACGCGATCAAGCGAGTGACGGAGTCGTGCGAATCCAATTGTGTCTCTTGTTAAAATGGCTGCATCCTCTGAGACTCTCCTTTTAAAATGCACTAAGTTTAGGGATGAGGGTCAATTCATCGACGTTCGATTAAAAGTCAGCGACGACGTTTTTACAGCTCATCGTATCGTGCTGGCTGCGAGCAGCGATTATTTCTACGCCATGTTTACAAATGGGATGAAGGAGTCCAACCAAGAAATGATCGAGTTGAAAGACGAAAGCATCACGTCAAATGCTCTAAAGATCATCTTAGACTCCGTCTACACTGGAGATCTTCATGTCACCGAGGAAAACGTCTTTGAAGTACTCGCTGCAGCATTTCACCTTCAAGTGGCGAGTGTTGTACAACGCTGCAGTGAGTTCCTGAAGAAAGAATTTGTTCAGCTCCGACTGGACCTGCAGAATTACTGTCTGCTCTGCACAGTTGCCGATAGACACGGTATGAAAGATCTGCGTGAGGCGGCGGAGAGCAAAATGGCATTAACGTTTAAGGATATCTGTGAAAGCGAAGAATTTTTGTCCATTATAGAACCAGACCAGTTGGTCAGCCTTCTCAGCCGAGATGACCTCAGTGCACCGTCTGAGACTTTCGTCTTCAAATCAGTGATGCAGTGGATTAAGCACAAGAAGGAGGAGAGGATGGCAGTTGCAGCCAAAGTTATTGGAGCTGTTCGTCTGGGGCTGGTGGACATCAGAGTTGTGATTGAAGAACTGAACTCTGAAGAGATGAAAGGAGATCCTGAGATTTATAAGCAAGTGTATGAAGCATCGGTCCATAGCAACATGCCTTCTAATTTCTCCAAGTTCGCTGAGGAACGAACTAAACCAAGATCAACAAGTCAGGTGAGTTAACGTTATTTCAACGATTCTCATTTGTAACAAACAGCCCATCATAGGATAGGACTGTGAAAGATTTATTAAAAAGGATTATACCCCAGCTGCTTAGATCTTTCAAATGAAGAGGCAATGTTTCCCTTTTCAAATGAATAAAGGTATTCGATGAGCTTGACCGTTCGCAAAGGGGGTGGGGATGGGCGGTAATACTACTGGGGACCAGGGCGTACTCTTTTGGCCTAATAGCGAATGTTAAGAGGATTATACTACTGTTGTCTTGGTTTGTGATTGTTACTGGTATTCACATGATGTTTGCATACGGTAAAACGACGCATGATGTAGAGATCTAGCTTGTGTCAAGCTCTCGGTTAGTGAGAAGAAGGAAGAAAATCAATACTCGGGTGAACAACGGGAGATGAAATGAGAAAGTCTTCTAATGACTCAGCTGAGTTGATAATGTGAATTAGCCACCGTAAAGAAACTCTTTATGGTGGCCAGTTTGCGTTATAAACTCAGTTGATAAAACCAAATTATCTTGTTACATTCCCCACTGACACAGCATCACAGTTATTTGGAATTTATCCCCTTTATCCGTGTGAATGACTCAGTTTCTTCACCTGCCGTTTTGAATGTCACTACCAGCAGTAGGCCGGTGACTGGATTTAACTGGATTTAACGGAGACGTTACTCTTTCATTTCAGGCTCTGATTGCAGTTCTTCCTCAAGCCCAAATGAAATATTTTGATTTCCAAAGCAAAACATGGAAATCTTTACTTTCGACAGTACCGTCGATCCAGGCGTTGAATTGCCATGCTGCAGTCTCTGTTGGCTGCAACTTGTTCGTTGCGGGACAAGCCCCGGTTGGTGGCCTTTCCTTTTATCGCTACGACACAGAGAGTAATGCTTGGGAGATGAAGCAGCTTCCTTCCACACAATTTATTAACAATTTGTGTATTCTAGGAGATTACATTTATGCTTTTAGTTCTTATTTAGGTCATGTTCCTCGAAGGTACAACATTGGCAAAAGGCAGTGGCAAAGCATTTCAAACCTGAGCACAAATACTTCTTATCAGGCCTGCAATATTGGAGCAATAGTTCATCAATCAATATTTGTCCTCTGTGGCGATACGAACTATATAGAAGGAAGATATCAACCAGCAGTATTACATTGCTTCGACCCGGCTAAGAATGAGTGGAAAGAAAAGGCAAGAACTTGCCAACCTCATTTTGGATCCAGTCTTTTCGAAGTAAATGGTAAACTCTTTGTTGCTGGGGGCAAATGTACTTGTCAAAATCACTATTATCCCGCACCAGTAGAAGTGTATAGCGAGGAAACCAACACCTGGTCTATTGTTAAACAAGAACATATTCCCGCCAATAATCTTGGTGCAGTGGAAATAGAAGGGAAGGTGTACTTCATCATCAATAAATTTCCAATCGACAGCGGGATTAGAATTTCACCAGAGGAGCGGTATCCTGTTCCACTGGATGAGTGGGAGAACTTAGGAAAAATTGAACAATGTGCAGTTCTTTGCTATTTGCCTCTAAAAAGAGAATATACGAAAAGTGAATGAGTTCATTCACCGTTCTGATTTAGAAGAAGAGTAGACTTGACAAACAGTTCAAAAGTTAACTCATAAACAGTTGTTGTATTGCAGTCGACTTACATAAAACGTTAGTAGGTTGGTGTTACTCCTAGTCTGTTGATCCAACCTCAAAACAATTCCTGTAATCTTTGAGCACAATTATCAAGTTCATGGGCAAGAAAGGAACCCAAAAATATATGTAAATCCATGTAAATTGTAAGAGCAATTACCACTCCAAGAGCTTATCACTTGTTTCTTCAGTAAAGAAGATATCGGCTCTTATTAGTGCTGGGGCTAATTAGGCTTGTTATTACTTTATTTACAATTCTGCCAGAGTAATTTTGACTATTATCGGATAAATGTCCTTCAAGGCTGGATAGAAACGTGCGCGATACCTAACTCTTTTGTCTATACTAAAGCAC